GAAAATACGCACGCAAAAGGTCTAGAGAAGTAGCTAGTCCACATTCCACGACAGCCGCCCTGATAAACCTATTGGCCTCAATTTTAAAACGAGAAACCACCGGGTAAAAGTTTAATATTTTCTAGTCAAAGAACGGTCTCACTTCCCAGTTTTCTTTGGAACTCGAAAAAAGTCGAGATAAAGAGTTGCCAGAGATACCTTCTCGATTGCAGCTTGCAGAAAAGGAAAGTTTGAATCTGCAGCCATAGGATTCCTTAACGTAAGGAACAATCCCCTCGAAATAATGAAAGCACTGAATGATCTGTGGATATTTCCTCCATTGTTTAGAGAATGAGTTAACTGATCCCTAAACTGGAATTGAAGTAGGAGAAATTAATTCCTCTGCTATTGCTTTCAACAACGTAAGAAGATGCAAATGCCTAGGTACCAAGGCTTGTTTATTGGTTCTTTAGATCAAAGTGATTGGAAAACTTTGGAGCAGTAGATTCATTCTGCAATGACCTTTATATTATTGGAAGCAGGAGATTGACTTCTAATAGAGGAGCAAACAAATGACATCTTGCCAATATTAACCTGAATGTTAACCGTTTGACAGGAAGAGGACTTAATATAAGTTCCTTGAACCCTTTGCAAGCCAAATATTTTGTAGGTATGATACGGGAGTTCATTAAGGAGCCTTGAAGATTGAAACAAATCCCGGGAGTTCTCTAAAAACTCAGCTGTTTTAAAAATGATGCAATCAGCAAGACAACAAAGAAACAAAAACTGAGAAGCATCATACAGTTGAAATAAGTAACATCTTTCTTCTTTTCTTCGTAGATTCCAAGCAACGGAGCACCCGTGTCACACGGTAGTAAAATATAGACCTTATCTTTAAAATAAACTGTTAACACAGAGATATGTCTCGCCTGTTTGTTATTTTGATAATGCAAATGTTGAAATTAAAATAGCAATACTTTAACATGTAAGTTATGCAAATATTCAAAGTCAATAAACCATGACTGAAGGTACAGGGCTAAACAATCTCCATGGAAATGAGATGTGCCAATGTTAATACAACTGCAAACCAAATACCATTGACTTTTCATAAGTCGTTCCCTTTAAACAAACCTAAACACAAACATTAACTTGTAAACTATGTAAAAGTTTCAAAGTCAATGAACCATAATTAGGGGGTGGGGTTATATATCTTCATGGAAATGAAACTTGCAAATGCCAATACATTTGCATACCGAATATCATTGACTTAACATTAGTGGTTCATCTTAAACTGACCTAATCACAAACTAATACATGTAAACTAAGCAAAATTGTCAAAGTCAATAGACCATGACTGAGGGGTAAGGACCAAATATTCTCCATGTGCTAATGCTTATACAACTGCATACCAATTATCATTGATCTACCACTAACGGTTCCCCTTAAACATGTTAAACTGACCTAATCACAAACTAATACATGAAAACTAAGCAAAAGTTTCAAAGTCAATAGACCATGAATGAGGGGGCGGGGCCAAATAATCTCCATGGAAATGAGATATGCTAATGCTTATACAACTGCATACCAAATATCATTGACCTACCACTAGTGGTTCCCATAAACTGACCTAATCACAAACTAATACATGTAAACTAAGCAAAGTTTCAAAGTCAATAGACCTTGACTGAGGGGGCGGGGCCAAATAATCTCCATGGTAATGAGCTGTGCCAATGCTAATACAACGGAACAAGGTTTCATGTCGATCCGGCCCCACGTCGATCCGGCCCAAGTCGATCCGTCCCACGTCGATCCGGCCCAACGTCGATCCGGCCCATATTTAAAGTCGATCCGGCCCAATAAAAAAATATATTTATAAGGAATAAAAATAAAGATATATATTAATTGTCATTCATAAATGTTTATGAATTTTATTATAATGTAAAAGGTGTACGGTAAAAAAAATTTGCCTTTGACAAATATTTTCTTTAGATGAGTTTAAAACAACTATGTTGATTATGTTCTCATTACAAGTTTTCAAGATTATTGGAATGTTTAGAATAATATATATAGTGCGTTTGTTCTTGGTGAGCTAATCAAATTGAACAATTATAGTGCTGTTAGTTCTATATATTATATATGTACTGCGTATGATAGTTACTGTATATGTTATTGTAGTGTTGCAAGTGTGACCCCTTTTATATTATGTAAGTGACAGTGTAACTGTTAGTGTAAATGATTTAAGTGTTATATATATTTATGTGAGTGTCAGAGATAGTGTGTTTGTTAGTGTGTATGAATTTATTGTTATATTATAGTAGTGATGATATTATATTTTAGAGAGTGAAAATGTGCATTCAGTGTAATTATTTTGTTATTATCTTGCAATAAAGAATAATGGATACTCATATAACTTGTTTTTTTTTATCTACACACAACTATTCAAAATATTGTCAACTTTAAAAAAATATATTGACTATATTCGATATTACAAAAAAAAAGAATGTGTTATAGAAGCCTCTGATGTTACCTGAAAAAAAAATATACAATTAATTATTATAACACATAACACCAAACAAAAGATCAAACTATAAAGACCTTGTTGATTACGTAACTTTAATCAATCAGGATTTGATTGAATCAGAGACATATATACACATGTGTATATATGTCTCTGATTGAATTAAGTGATTACGAGTGGCATTACCTTAGTTCACAATCATCAGACAATTGTTGAATAAACAAACCAATTATAGACTAATGATTTGATTAAACAAGTCATTATGATGAATTAAAATTTATAGGTTCCATTGGACAGTAAATATTTATTTAGCTATTCTGTGTGTGAATTAAATAAAATAAAAATCGCCATGACATTCAAAGTTATCATGGAAAATAACTTGATATTAATATGTTGAAGCTGCTATACAAACAGACACAATCACACTCATTTTTGTATCGATTTAAAATAATTCTTTGACTGGTACTCCAATACTTCACTTACCTGTTGTCATCCATCATTGATACTTTTTACAAATTCCATTTATACTGTTAAAATTTGTCACAAAATCCTCCAAAGTCAATATAGTTTATTCATATTTTATTATGGGGCCGGATCGACGTAGGGACGGATCGACGTGGGCCGGATCGACTTGGGACGGATCGACTTGGGCCGGATCGACTTGGGGCCGGATCGGTTTGGGGTCGGAACGACCGGATACCTAATACAACTGCATACCAAATATCATTGACCTACCACTAGTGGTTCACCATGAACTAGACCTAATCACAAACTAATACATTGTTGACGCCGCCGCCGGAAACAGCATACCTATGTCTCGCTTTTTGACTCCGTCAAGGCGAGACAATGAACATTAATATAAAAGAAAAGGTGGTAAGGGGATATATTTACAGTAGGCCATTATTTATCTTTTTAGTATACTTAAAAAAGACATTAGCTATGTTAAGAAGTTTTAAAAGGATATTGATAAAAAAGATTAAAATAAGTAAAATGGGTGCTTCAGAATTTACAGTGGAAATATTTACATCAGTTTAATTACTTGTATTAATTACATGTATATGGTAATTCATAAAATTTAAAAGTGACTTATTTAGAGTGATTAAGTCCCTAAGATTTTTTGCACCCTACACACTATTTACTAGTATTCATTAAAGAGCCCGAAGCAACCATGAAGTATTTGGCTGAAACTGAAATATGAGATGCATGACCACGATCACCTTAGCCCTAACTGACTGGAGAGAGTGCAAACCCGCCAATAAGCTTAAACCCATAAACAGAAAAAAGATACATATCAAAGAGATAACTAACCTTCATAGAGTATTATTAAAGATATCAGTCTTTACTAAAATGGAATCAAAAGAAAGTAATGCCAAACCCAGATATCTGCTTGTTATTCATTTTTTTTTCTGTAAAAGGATTACTTATCCCATTATTAATATGCTATGTTATCATATTATTGCAGAACAGTGATTATGTGATTAGACTCAAGAATGGAACTGCAATTAGCACCCGATCAAAAGACTTCTTAGGCCAAGGAGAAGAGGCAAACAGGATATTGGCTACATCTCTGTTGCGAGTTAAAACCGATTCCATATTTAAAGAGAGACCCTCATTGGTTTTAAGATCTGTGATCCATCCACACAGATGATGGAGCTGAAGCAGCCTTGGTCACATTCTTCGATTCTTGGGAGGTAAAAGGGAGTTAGTTTTTCCAGAGACATATATACACATATATATGTGTATATATGTCTCTGGTTTTTCTCATTTTTCAGAAGCAAGTCCAATACCAAGATGGGCCTCAAAACTAACAGGATAACTAAAATAGCACATCTTATTGCAACTGGAGCAGATGGAATTACAGTAGTGTAGGGTGGACAAAAGCAAAAGTAATAGTAGGAATTGTGGTTGGTGCTTTTACAAAACGACAGAAAAACCTTGTCATGTTCCATAGTGCAAGAAAACTCAGAAACTGTGGCTATAATTAGATGGATACCCTGCATATGGATAACATTGTGGAGATGGTATCTAGACCAAGATGACTGAGGTAGAAAGCCTTAAGTGAGTAGCATTCTGGTACACCTTAGTCAAATATGGGAGGTCTAGAGCCTCGAAGATTTAGACCCATATAAGTACCTTGGATGCAAATTTATACCATATGATTTAATGAACACAGACCTATTGTGCATCACTGTGCATAAAGTAGAAAAGGCAATTGAGTGCCTATCAGGGCCTTCGAAAACTGAAATGCTAGCATTTTATCAGTCACAAAATCATGTACCTTTAAATACAACAGGCACAACTATTTACTTGACAACACAAAATCCACTAATATCAGGTGCTAATGGTCAGGCATACCCTGCTACACATGTGACATCTTCTTACGAACACTAAACACATTTTCAAACAAGACTTGTTGGTGTAGAAACTTCCCAGAAAATCATCACTTTTGTTTTTCAGTATTGTTTTGAAATAAATGTCTCTCATGGATTAATTGAATCGGAAATTTATATTCTACATTTTTATTTAAAATATTAACATTCAAAAATCATGTCTTTGATACAGATGTTAAAAAAATCAAATAAAAACATACCATATTAAATATATAGTATTTCACAAATAATATAAAATAAAAAATCTAAAAAATAAACAATATATATCAAAGCAGAAGTGACAGAAAGAACTGAAATTACAAATGCAGTCAATTCAAGTCCATCTTCCTTGGCAAAAACTGGAAAATAATCAAGGGGAGTAAACTCTGGGTCTCTTTAATTTTCATCATTTTGATTTCACAAAAAATAAAATGCTCCGCTGGGGCGCAGCTTGATACGACCGCAGAGGTCGAACCCTGAACAGTTGGGGCAAGTATGGACACAACATTCAAGCTTGATACAGCACTGAATTTGGATTGTAATTAAATAATTGACACAGCATAGGTTTCTGACACAAAATGAATGTGGTCTAAGAACTTAAAAAAATTTAATTAACCTATTCAAACCATATCATTATTATTTGCTTTTATATATAAATCAGAAATAACCAATTTAAAATTGAAAATTTTAAAGAAAAAAAATCCCCCCCCCCAAATTTTTTGAACCCCCTTATGATTCATCACCCCCAAACTCAATCCCAGCCTTCCCTTTGTGGTATGGTACCTTGCAGTACAATTTCAGAGAGATCCATACACTTGAACACATGTTATTGTCTGGGAACTAGAAAAATGCTTGTTTTTTGGCCCCAAATTCCTAAACGTTTAGGGCAATTACCCCCAAACTCAAACTTAGCTTTCCCTTTGGGATATGGAACCTTGTAATACAATTTCATAAAGATCCATACACTTGCACACAAGTTATTGTCCTCAAACTAGAAAAATGCTTGTTTTTTGCCCCTTTTTTGGCCCCTAATTCCTAAAATTTTGAGGCAATTAACCCCAAAATCAATCCCAGCCTTCCCTATATGGTATGGTACCTTGCAGTACAATTTCAGAGAGATCCATACACTTGAACACAAGTTATTGTCTGGAAACTAGAAAAATGCTTATTTTTGGCACCTTTTTGGCCCCTTATTCCTAAACGTTTTGGGCAATTACCCCCAAACTCAATTCCAGCTTTCCCTTTGTGATATGGAACCTTGTAGTACCATTTCATAAAGATCCATACACTTACATACAAGTCATTGTCATGAAACTAGAGAAATGCTTGTTTTTTGCCCCTTTTTCTGCTTATTTTTGGCCCCTTTTTGGCCCCTAATTCCTAAACTGTTGGTACCATTACCCCCAAAATCAATCCCCACCTTCCTTTTGTGGTATTGAACCTTATGGTAAAATTTCATAGAGATCCATTCACTTAAACTAAAGTTAGAGTGCGAAAACCAATGTGTCTTCGGACGACGACAACGTCAAAACCAATATACGACCGCAAAAAAATTTTTCGTATAAAAACCCAGAAAATAATCTTATCTTAAGATTTGCTATTGCCAGGACAAAATAAAGACCACTGAAAATGAAAGAGGATCATCAACAATGATTTTACATTTACCAGTTGCACTACATTCACATACATCATATATTAAAGGAAGATTAATTATCATAAAGTTTTGATATAAAAATAAATAAGTATGGCACATAACCTATATAACATATATTAATTTTTGTTCTTTCTAATGCTTCCTTTTTCCTTATATCATGTAAACTTCAATTATTCATATATTCCAATATTTTGATTGTCTGACACCAATCGTATTGATTTTAAGATGGTTTTATTTTCCAATATAAAGCAACACCAATAAGTTTAATAAATAAAAGAAGTCACAATAATATGTAAGAATGTGTAATAGAAGACAAACAATAACTTTTATTTAACTTGGTAATTCCTAGTTATAACATTTGATTGTTATCATAAGAATTTAGTATTCTTTTTGTAGTTTTACAGGTTTTTAAAATCATTGACCATCCACATATTTTTTGTATGAAGCTTTCATTTGATTGTAACAAAATGTGCAGTCAAACCTTCACAACCCAATAAATATAAAATAAGGAGATGAGGTATGATTGTAATGAGACAACTATCCAACAGAGTCAATATGAAGTTGATTTACGAAACTATAGGTCACTGTACAGACTTCAACAATAAACAAAACCCATGATATATAGTCAGCTATTAAAGGCTCTAACATGACAAAATGTTAAATAGTTCATAAGAAAAAAACGCAACAACCTCATTTCTAACAAAACAATAAACAAAAAAACAAATGTGACAGACAGCAACAAACAACAACAATAACTGAATTACAGTCTTGTGACTTGGGAAGTCATATACAGAAAGTGGCAGGGTTAAACATATTTATGAGTACTCAACCCTCCCTTATCCTGGGACGGTTGTGTTACAGCACAAAATAAGAACAACCAGTAATAAATTGCTCACTGGGCTCAGCTTGATACGACCCCAGAGGTCGAACCCTGAACAGTTGGGGCAAGTATGGACACAACATTCAAGCTTGATACAGCACTGAATTTAGATTGTGATTAAAAATTTGACACAGCATAGGTTTCTGACACAGAATGAATGTGGTCTAAGAACTTAAAAAATTTTAATTTACCTATTGAAACCATATCATTATTATTGGCTTTTATATATAAATCAGAAATAACCAATTTAAAATGGAAAATTTTAAAGAAAAAAAAAGGAAAAAAAAGGGAAAAAAAAAATCCCCCCCCCCAAATTTTTTGAACCCCCTTATGATTCATCACCCCCAAACTCAATCCCAGCCTTCCCTTTGTGGTATGGTATCTTGCAGTACAATTTCAGAGAGATCCATACACTTGAATACAAGTTATTGTCTGGAAACTTAGAAAAATGCTTGTTTTTTGGCCCCTTTTTGGCCCCAAATTCCTAAATGTTTAGGGCAATTACCCCCAAACTCAAACCAAGCTTTCCCTTTGTGATATTGAACCTTGTAGTACAATTTTATAAAGATCTATACACTTACACACAAGTTATTGTCCTGAAACTAGAAAAATGCTCGTTTTTTGCCCACTAATTCCTAAAATTTTGAGGCAATTACCCCCAAAATCAATCCCAGCCTTCCCTTTGTGGTATGGTACCTTGCAGTACAGTTTCAGGGAGATCCATACACTTGAACACAAGTTATTGTCTGGAAACTAGAAAAATTATTATTTTTGGCCCCTTTTTGGCCCCTTATTCCTTAACGTTTAGAGCAATTACCCCCAAAGTCAAACCAAGCTTTCCCTTTGTGATATTGAACCTTGTAGTACAATTTCATAAAGATCTATACACTTACACACAAGTTATTGTCCTGAAACTAGAAAAATGCTCGTTTTTTGCCCCTTTTTGCCCACTAATTCCTAAAATTTTGAGGCAATTACCCCCAAAATCAATCCCAGCCTTTCCTTTGTGGTATGGTACCTTGCAGTACAATTTCAGAGAGATCCATACACTTGAACACAAGTTACTGTCTGGAAACTAGAAAAATGATTATTTTTGGCCCCTTTTTGGCCCCTTATTCCTAAACGTTTAGAGCAATTACCCCCAAACTCAATTCCAGCTTTCCCTTTGTGATATGGAACCTTGTAGTACAATTTGAGAAAGATCCATACACTTACACACAAGTTATTGTCCTGAAACTATAAAAATGCTTGTTTTTTGCCCCTTTTTTGGCCCCTAATTCCAAAAATTTTGAGGCAATTACCCCCAAAATCAATCCAAGCATTCCCTTTGTGATATGGAACCTTGTGGTACAATGTCAGAGAGATCCATACACTAACACACAAGTTATGTCTGGAAGGTACAAAAATGCTTATTTTTGGCCCCTTATTTCCTTAACTGTTGGTACCATAACCCCCAAAATCAATCCCCACTTTCCTTTTGTGGTATTGAACCTTATGGTAAAATTTCATAGAGATCCATTCACTTAAACTAAAGTTAGAGTGCGAAAACTAATGTGTCTTCGGACAACGACGACGCCAACGTCATACCAATATACGACCGCAAAATTTTTTTGCGGTCATATAAAAATCAGTGGTAAATGGCTTGACTCATCAATCACCATAATACACAAAAAACTAACATAAAGACAAAAGACCCAAAATCTATCTAAAAGAACTTGCAGTTACTGAAAGCTAGTTTAAAGCCAATAACCAGTAATAAATAAGTCTTATCTTGAGGTCTTTTGTCAAGAACATTTGCGACTAAGAAAGTTACAACCCACAGTTTCCAAGATTATATCAAAGTAAGTGAATCTCTGACACAGAAAAACTCAATTGTCATAAAGGTAGTAATTTGACCTTTTAATCAAAGGTCAAGGTCATATCACAATATTGATGTAATCTCATGATGATATATCCAAATGCCTAATATCATTTGACTATGTCAAACATAACAACATAACATAAACAATAATTTGACTTTGAGATGAAAGGTCAATTACTATGTTCTAATTGATACATAATGATTTATGATACAAGAACACACATCAGAATTGTCTTTTCAACAATAAAGACTAACAACAAAAACTTAAAAGCTAAAAGCTTAACAACTTTTAATCTTTTTCATCTTTACATTTACAAAAACATCAACACGGTTTATATACTCATTTTGTGGTCACCAGGCATTTATTTATGACAAAAATATGATTAAGATTCAAGCATATCACAGCAATAAATCTCTAAAATAATTATGTTATTTACATAATAGAAACTACAAAAAAAATACTTGTATATGAATGTATATTATGTTAGAATTCTTAATAAAAACACTTGAAACAATACTCTAAAACAAAACTTAACATTGCCTGTGGCATTCCTATGCCTTCAGAACTTTAAGAATTTTGTATATTTATAAACATAGACCTGATCTACATAATAAGAACAATGAGTGTTTAAGCCATAAAGTCATAGTACTGGTTTTTGACCTTTTCATCCTTGACCTGTTTCTTGATAGCACATAAACCCTTTGTTCTGCTGTTAGAGTATCTTTCCATATTGTGAGATCTCCCTTGTGAAAAAGCATTACTCACTTCATCTCTGTATCTCCCTTTTTGCTAGAGAGTAAAATAGTAAAGAGATTAACTAACATGGAATAATTAGGAATTAAAATTTATTGACCGAATCAATCAAAATATTCTTGCCAAATGTTAACCAATTTAAACATGCTGCATGAAATATTTGCAAGTACTTGCAAATTATAATTAATAACAACTTGTTTCATATGACCATTCAATAAGCTTTTCATACACAGCTTCTTTTTCTCATGTGTTTTTTGTAAGTACATGTACTATTAAATTTAAATTGATAAAAATGTACATAACTGATATAGTACTGTTTAAGTTCTTCAAAATTTTTGTACTACACATGTATTTCATTACTGGATTTGCACTAATAAATGCGCTATATGTACATACCAGTTATGTATATTCATCTTGTAGTATTACCATTTATGTACAAAAATATTTTGTACTGGTTAAGCAATTCACTAATATTGCACTTTGAGTGAAATTTCAAATAAAATAATACTAATGAAGTACTAATAAAAATAAGAAGATGTGGTATAATTGCCAATGAGGCAACACTCCACCAGAGAACAAATTTTTATTTATGTTTTTTTTATTTATTGTACTATTTACAAACTGTTTATTTATTGCATCTTTATAGTACTGCAAGATTGAAGTACAGATCTGGTACTTCATATAAATAATACAAATTTAGTACTGTAAAATTATGGTACAAACATTGTTTCATCAGTGTTTAGATGTTTGATTATTGGAGGCTATCTGGAGTTCATAAAGTCCATCTTGATCCCCATATCTTGGCTCAATACATGAACTTGCTTTAAATGATCAAGGAGGTTATATTAGAATTAACCTCTTTGGTATGATTAAAATCATAGATTCACTCAATAGCTTAGTTTCATTGCCAAACATTTTAACGTAGCTCAGAATCCCAGTAACTACAGGGCAGTAGAATTGATTTTTTCCAAGAATGTCTTTAATGTTGTCTATTTACCAATGTCTGAGAAATCTGTTTTCCGAGAGTCAGACTGTGATGAACTGATCATGTCTGTATAGTGCTTTGATAGAGTCAGTTTCAATTGCAACTCAATAATAGACCTGTCAAATTTTATGTTTCAGCTTAATACCAATAAATGTACTATTTTAAGAGCTCTAAAATATATTTTTCCTTTGGCCCTAATTATCTGCATTCTATATATATATATATACTAACCTTTTTTAGATCTTCATGATTTCTGAGTTGTTCCTGAATCAGTTTACTTTCTGACAAATAAGCACATCTCTCTTCCATTTGGTCAGCACCATGTGTTCCTTTAGCAATCAGAGCATTGTTGGAACATCTACAGAGTAAATATATTAAACAAAATAAGGAAAAATGGAGCCCTTTATCAATTTGCTTTAAAAAAAATAAATAATTGTGACCCAAAAATTATTCATAATATTTTACAATTGTTAACTCTTTAAAAGGAGACAAATATCAAATGAAGAAATAAAAGGAGATGTATTTTTGGAATCACAATCTGCATTAGATTTATGCAAAATGCTACCTTGTACCAGCAGTATGCTTCAATTTCTGCAGTTGTATCACTAGCTTCAATTGGAACATATATTACAGTAACTCTTTCCAGATTTATCACTAGCTTCAATAAGATCATATATTACAGTAACTCTTTCCAGATGTATTAGCTTCAATTAGATCATATATTACAGAAATAAAAGGAGATGTATTTTTGGAATCACAATCTGCATTAGATTTATGCAAAATGCTACCTTGTACCAGCAGTATGCTTCAATTTCTGCAGTTGTATCACTAGCTTCAATTGGAACATATATTACAGTAACTCTTTCCAGATTTATCACTAGCTTCAATAAGATCATATATTACAGTAACTCTTTCCAGATGTATTAGCTTCAATTAGATCATATATTACAGAAATAAAAGGAGATGTATTTTTGGAATCACAATCTGCATTAGATTTGTGCAAAATGCTACCTTGAACCAGCTATATGCTTCAATTTCTGCAGTTGTATCACTAGCTTCAATTGGAACATATATTACAGTAACTCTTTCCAGATTTATCACTAGCTTCAATTAGATCATATATTACAGTAACTCTTTCCAGATTTATCACTAGCTTCAATAAGATCATATATTACAATAACTCTTTCCAGATGTATTAGCTTCAATTAGATCATATATTATAGTAACTCTTTCCAGATGTATTAGCTTCAATTAGATCATATATTACAGTAACTCTTTCCAGATGTATCACTAGCTTCAATTAGATCATATATTACAGTAACTCTTTCCAGATGTATCACTAGCTTCAATTAGATCATATATTACAGTAACTCTTTCCAGATGTATCACTAGCTTCAATTAGATCATATATTACAGTAACTCTTTCCAGATGTATCACTAGCTTCAATTAGATCATATATTACAGTAACTCTTTCCAGATGTATCACTAGCTTCAATTAGATCATATATTACAGTAACTCTTTCCAGATGTATCACTAGCTTCAATTAGATCATATATTACAGTAACTCTTTCCAGATGTATCACTAGCTTCAATTAGATCATATATTACAGTAACTCTTTCTAGATGCTACTTACAAAATATTTTTAGCTCTATCAATATCTCCTTCACTAGCCATATCAGATGTAGTTTGCACAGTGGCCACACCCATTACAGCAACATTCATACCCTGCAATGGTGTACATTATCTATGATAAATGGCATTGTCTTTCATTATTAATATGGAATTTGACTTAAATCTCCTTTTATAACTTGGCCAAAGCGAAAAAGATTTGTAGAAAACACAAAAAAGTGTCGGGTCCAATCCCAATTTTTTGCTAATTGTGTGAATAATTTGAAATCTTCAAATATGCCAGATAACAATCTTGTTTACAATACAAACACATGCTCATTTTGATTCCATAAAATTTGTAAAATCTATTAGTACTAAAATGCCCAGTCATTTTCAGGATGAATCTCTATTTTTAATGATTATCTTTTTTTAAACATTCACAAAAGGAGAGTTAAAACTTGTTTTCCAATCATAACATCAAAATGACTTAAATATTCTAAAAAAATAAATGTTAAAAGTTTTAAATCTTTTTACCTCCTCCATATCTAATCTTTTGTCAGTAGTTTGAATTGATTTGCTGATCACACGTAACATCTTTTTCCCATCTTTGAAAGTAAACTTTATCTGAGCCTAAAACAAATAGCAGAGTCTGTTAAATCACAAATTTTTAACCAACACATTTTCAATAATCCAAACTATATATATATGCCTAATACTGACATCTGTTCTAAAGCAAATTACTGTAAATTCAGAAATTATTGCGAGGTTTTTATTAAGGCGAATAATGCGACTAGGTGATTATCGCAATAATAAGAACTCGCATTCCAATATCTGATACAGATATCTGCATGCAGATTTTCCTAAAATCGTAATAATTAATCTTGCATTTTTGTCCATTCTTCAAAAATCACAATAATAAATGCATACTTGTTAAACTGGACATACTTGACTATTGATATTGGAGAGTTAACAAATTAACACATCCACTCAAGAAAAGATATTGACATCATTGCTTGTACAATGGAATAATAAGTAATATGAAAATATGAAAACTAGACTTGTTGAAGTAAACATCAATAATTTCTATCCTAAGAGTTCAATTTACATAATATATCATGGCAATATTAAAGCATAAAAAAAATATAGTAGAACAGCATGTATCCCATCCTGGAACATACAGTAAGCACAGAGAGTTTGTAATCGAGAACTCTAATCACGGATTTCGGAGTGTAGCAGTGTCACACCGCGAATCACAGATTATACTCCCAATTTCAACAAAGACGATTTTACTACAATTAGAATCTTTTATGACCTACTCAGTGAGCAATATCCGGTTCATTAATTGTTCAATATATAAATATCAACTGGCTTAAAACAAAATGATGTTTTTACGGTAATTTGTCCAATCTAAACCCAAGAGTTAATTTATCAGATCAACAAGTGAACTCTGTTACTTTCAATTTATTTTGCAATGTAAAATATTATGTTTCACTACCTCGGTAGATTACCGACTTGAAATATTTGAACTCAGAAAAGAAACTGTAAAGTGACAACTCTGTTGAACGAAGGGAAAACGTTTTGTATGCAATGTGCCCTATATTCATAAAAACACAACACTGAGAGACATTCCCCGCCCAGACACAACACAATAATCACAACCTAATTTAAATATATGAAGAAAAAAAAATCATGTGTTGTTTATCTCTGTTATAATCTGTTATTGATACTTTATTATTTAAAATAAAATTAGATGGGCGCAATCCGTATTTTACTGCTCGTTAAAAGTCCTTGGCAAAATAAAATAAAATGCTCCGCAGGGCGCAGCTTGATACGACCGCAGAGGTCGAACCCTGAACAGTTGGGGCAAGTATGGACACAACATTCAAGCTTGATACAGCTCTGAATTTGGATTGTGATTAAATATTTGACACAGCATAGGTTTCTGACACAGAATGAATGTGGTATAAGAACTTAAAAATGTTAAATTGGACATTCACCTATTATGGTCCAATATCCAAAATCTAAATACATGGTTAGATTCAGCATATCAAAGAACCCCAAGAATTCAATTTTTGATGACATCAAACTAAGTTTAATTTTGGACCCTTTTGACCTCAATGTGGACAAAGTTGATAACGGGCCCAAAAATCAAAAATCTAAATACATGGTTAGATTCAGCATATCAAAGAACCCCATATATTCAATTTTTGTTGAAATCAAACAAAGTTTAATTTTGGACCCCGATTTGGACCAACTTGAAAACTGGGCCCATAATCAAAAATCTAAATACATGTTTAGATTTAGCATATCAAAGAACCCTAAGAATTCAATTTTTGTTAAAATCAAACTTAGTTTAATTTTGTACCATTTGGACCTTAATGTAGACCAATTTGAAAACGGAACCAAAAATTAAGAATCTAAATACACGGTTAGATTCGACATATCAAAGAACCCCAATAATTCAATTTTTGATGAAATCAAACAAAGTTTAATTTTGGACCCTTTGGACCTCAATGTGGACCAATTTAAAAACAGGGCCCAAAATCCAAAAACTTAATACACGGTTAGATTCAGCATATTAAAGAACCCCAAGAATTCAAGAATAAAACCCCATTGAAATTGGTCAAGAAATAAGCAATTTATACGAAGTATCTTCTTTTGCACAATACTGTGCAATTGAATATTTCTTGCTATTGCGCAATACTGCACAATTGACAATTTCTTGCTATTGCGCAATATTGTGCTATTGGATTCTTGCTATTGCGCAATACTGTGCAATTGAAGATTTCTTGGTATTGCGCAATACTGTGCAATTGAAGATTTCTTGCTATTGTGCAATACTGTGCAATTGAAAATTTCTTGCTATTGCACAATACTTATTATATAATAATTTACACATCCTGTTTGGTGTGTATCTCCTACCATATCATTATTATTTGCTTTTAAATATAAATCAGAAATAACCAACTTAAAATGGAAAATTTTAAAAGAAAAAAAAAGGAAAAAAAGAAAAAAAAGGAAACCCCCCCCCCCCCAATTTTTTGAACCCCCTTATGATTCATCACCCCTAAACTCAATCCCAGCCGTCCCTTTGTGGTATGGTACCTTGCAGTACAATTTCAGAGAGATCCATACACTTGAACACAAGTTATTGTCTGGAAACTAGAAAAATTTGTTTTTTGGCCCCTTTTTGGCCCCCAATTCCTAAACGTTTAGATCAATTACCCCCAAACTCAATTCCAGTTTTCCCTTTGTGATATGGAACCTTGTAGTACAATTTCAGAAATATCCAAACACTAACACACAAGTTATTGTCATGAAACTAGAAAAATGCTTGTTTTTTGCCCCTTTTTTGGCCCCTTATTTCTAAAATATGAGGCAATTACCCCCAAAATCAATCCCAGCATTCCCTGTGTTATATGGAACCTTGTGGTACAATTTCAGAGAGATCCATACACTTGAACACAAGTTATTGTCTGGAAACTAGAAATAAAATGCTTCGCTGGGGCGCAGCTTGATACGACCGCAGAGGTCGAACCCTGAACAGTTGGGGCAAGTATGGACACAACATTCAAGCTTGATACAGCTCTGAATTTGGATTGTTATTAAATATTTGACACAGCATAGGTTTCTGACACAGAAAGAATGTGGTCTAAGAACTTGAATTTTTTTAATTTACCTATTATGGTCCAATGTCCAAAATCAAAATACATGGTTAGATTCAGCATATCAAAGAACCCCATATATTCAATTTTTGTTAAAATCAAACAAAGTTTAATTTTGGACCCCAACTTGGACAAACTTGAAAACTGGGCCCATAATCAAAAATCTAAACACATGTTTAGATTCAGCATATCAAAGAACCCCAAGAATTCAATTTTTGCTAAAATCAAACTAAGTTTAATTTTGGACCCTTTGGACCTTAATGTAGACCAATTTAAAAAACGGGACTTAAAATTAAAAATCTAAATACACGGTTAGATTTGGAATATCAAAGAACCCCAATAATTCAATTTTTCATGAAATCAAACAAAGTTTAATTTTGGACCCTTTTGACCTCAATATGAACCAATTTGATAGCGGGGCCCACAAATAAAAAATCTAAATTCATGGCTAGATTCAGCATATCAAAGAACCCCATATATTCAATTTTTGTTGAAATCAAAAAAAGTTTAATTTTGGACCCCAACTTGGACAAACTTGAAAACTGGGCCCATAATCAAAAATCTAAACACATGTTTAGATTCAGCATATCAAAGAACCCCAAGAATTCAATTTTTGTTAAAATCAAACTAAGTTTAATTTTGGACCCTTTGGACCTCAATGAAGACCAATTTAAAAAACGGGACCCAAATTAAAAATCTAAAAAAACGGTTAGATTTGGCATATCAAAGAACCCCAATAATTCAATTTTTGATGAAATCAAACAAAGTTAAATTTTGGACCCTTTTGACCTCAATATGAACCAATTTGATAGCGGGGCCCACAAATAAAAAATCTAAATACATGGTTAGATTCAGCATATCAAAGAACCTCATATATTCAATTTTTGTTGAAATCAAACAAAGTTTAATTTTGGACCCCAATTTAGACCAACTTGAAAACTGGGCCCATAATCAATAAAATGCTCCGCTGGGGCGCAGCTTGATACGACCGCAGAGGTCAAACCCTGAACAGTTGGGGCAAGTATGGACACAACATTCAAGCTTGATACAGCACTGAATTTGGATTGTAATTAAATATTTGACACAGCATAGGTTTCTGACACAGAATGAAAGTGGTCTAAGAACTTATAATTTTTTAATTTACCTATTCATACATGTGATGGACTGTGAAACTCAGATCAGGAGATTGGGAAATTTTGGTCAGGAGATTAGGACTCAGATCAGGAGGTTTTTAATCGACATAAATTTTGTCATAAATGTAACCGTTTGCTGTAAAAATGGTCTTTTAAAGTGTGTTTTCTTCAACTTTCCATCCAATTTATTATGTTTATAGTACCCTTGTACTTATAAAGTTTCTCCATCTTTATATTTTACATGTTCAATCTCTATAAAACATTTATTGCAACCAGAACATTTGTTTAACTATCTGCAAATAGCTTTGGTTTGCATACTCAGAAAATCATGCTAACTGTAAAACAAGGGTCATAGTTATTATATAAATTTCAATTTAAGCCTTGAAAGGAAGTATAGAATCCTCAAATAATTTTCAAATTATTATTTTTTTATTTGTCCTAAGACATTTAAAATCATTTATTTACCATCCTTTTATGATTATTTGTTCAATTTATATTTTATTTATATTCTTTTAAAAGTTTTCATTATTAAAAGGAAAGTAACTTAAAACAGGATAAATCAAGGGAAGTAACCCAATAAATACACAGTTTTTGTTACACAACGGCAGTTAGCCTGAGGTAAAAAATCATTGATTACCAGTATGTTTGACACCCAAGCTGACAAGTGAAGCCATATAATTATGCATGTTAATTGATTTACAGGTAAAATATAACTTCAGGTAATGTGAGTTACACCAGATGCCTGAGATGATATGTTGGGCAGAAATTTTTCATTCATGAAAAATTTCATACACAGGATTATAATTTTCCTCTTCAACCGGAGGTCGGGAGG